CCCCCCTACATCCATCAGTCCTCAGTTTTTGTCAGCATTCAAGAGTCTCTCATGGTTTGCCTCTCTCCCTTTCCCCCACCATTTCCCCCCTTCTTCTCTCCCTTGTTCCTCAGTTAGGTTCCTCCTAATCCTCCTATACGTGCAAACATATGATATTTGTCCTTATCTGCCTGACTTATTTTGCTCAGCCTAACACCCTCAAGGCCCATCCATGTTGCTACACATGGCCAGATTTCATTGTTTCTCATTGCCATGTAGTATTCCATGGTATAGATAAACCACATCTTCTTGATCCATTCGTCCGTGGATGGACACTTAGGCTCTTTCCATGTTTTAGCTATTGTGGAGAGTGCTGCTATGAACATTGGGGTAGATGTGCTCCTATGCATCAGCATTTCTGTATCCCTTGGGTAAATTCTTAGCAGTGCTATTGCTGGGTCATAGGGGAGTTCAAGGATACAAGAGATCTGTATGATGAAAACTATAGAAAACTTTTGAAGGAAATTGAAGAAGACACAAAGAAATGGAAAAACATTCCATGCTCATGGATAGGAAGAATAAATATAGTTAAGATGTCATTACTACCCAAAGCACTCTACACATTCAATGCAATTCCAATCAAAATTGCACCAGCATACTTCTCAAAACTAGAACAAACTATCCTAAAATTTGTATGGAACCACAAAAGACCCCGAATAGCCAAAGTAATACTGAAAAATAAAACCAAAACGGGAGGGATCACCATCCCAAACTTTAGCCTCTCCTACAAAGCTGTCATCCTCAAGACATTATAGTATTGGCACAAAAACAGACACATAGACCAATGGAACAGAATTGAGAACTCAGAAGTGGACCCAAAACTATACAGCCAACTGATCTTTGACAAAGCAGGAAAGAATATCCAATGAAAAAAAGACAGCCTTATTAACAGATGGTGTTGGGAGAACTGGACAGCAACATGCCGAAGAATGAAACTAGATCATTTTCTCACACCATGCACAAAAATAAACTCAAAAAGGATAAAGGACCTGAACGTGAGACAGGAAACTATCAACACCCTAGAGGAGAAAGCAGGAAACAACCTCCTTGACCTCCACCGCAGCAACTTCTTACTTGACACATCCCCAAAAGCAAGGGAATCAAGAGCAAAAATGAACTATCAGGACCTCATCAAGATTAAAAGCTTGTGCACAGCAAAGGAAACAACCCACAAAACTAATAGGCAACCAACGGAATGGGAAAAGATAGTTGCAAATGACATATCAGATAAAGGGTTAATATCCAGAATCTATAAGGAACTCACCAAACTCCACACCCGAAAAACAGAAAACCCAGTGAAGAAATGGGCAGAAGATATGAACAGACACTTCTCCAAAGAGGACATCCAGATGGCCAACAGACACATGAAACGATGCTCAGCATCCCTCCTCATCAGGGAAATACAAATCAAAACCACACTGAGATACCACCTCACGCCAGTCACAGTGGCTAAAATGAGCAAATCAGAGAACTCTAGATGGTGGCGAGGATGTGGAGAAACGGGCACCCTCCTACACTGTTGGTGGGAATGTAAACTGGTACAGCCCCTCTGGAAAACAGTGTGGAGGTTCCTCAGGAAACTTATCATTACTTAAAGCAATTGCTAACTTCTTCTTGCAAGATCTGAGGCTATTAAATCACAAAGGGAGTCCTGTATTGCTTCAAAATAATGTCTTTACTTCTGTGACATGAGTCCTCTGAAAATCTAAGTCCACAGCATCATTTTCTAACAGTGGGTTTCAACAATTTGGAGAGCTCAATGTAAGATAATGAGTTATTTTAAAGGAAGAGCACTACAAAGGAAAAAAACTGAATATCAAAATGTCCACAAGCCCATACTAAAAATGAAAAGCAAAATGCTTCTTTTTTTTTTTTTTTGATATGATAAAATTATCTGTAATATGTAAACTCTCTGCAGGACAGAAGTTTAAAACGGATACTATTTCATTATTTTATGTAGTGTGGGGCAGGTAACAGCAAAGTATTCATGCTACTCATAAACTAAAATATAAGACAAAGACGTCCTGTTTCTATATGAAAAGCCATCCTTGTAAATAAAGTTACTAATTTCAAACTTCATGAGAGCTAATCCCACAATCAGTGATCTGTTCTGATCACTATATTATATCTTCTTACAATCTTTCCATTATTCTCATTCTTTTCCTAAAGGTATGAAGCACACGTTCTCTCTTCTTCTCAACTTCACAACTGATTAACTGTTTAAATTCAAGGGTTGGATTTTAAGTACCATACAGATCAACTTAAAGCAGACTCTCTCTTAAGGCAGCTTAAGCATTTGAAAATTAAATTTCATATTGTCTAGACAAGCTATCTTGATAATATAGTTTTCCAGAATTTCCTAGATTGACTGTCTAGACTGCCCCAATTCCTCCAGATGACTGCATAATCATCTTCCTTCTGACCACTTAAAGAGTCTGGAAAAATATTTCCCAATATATAGCTGCCATGCAAATCAAGGTCATTGGGCTTCTGAAGGAGGACCTCTCTTCAAATCTCTGAGTTTCAGAATCTCAGGAAAATACTCGCATCCCAATCTTCTACCTCAAAGGAGATTAGAAGGGATGCTTTATTTCAGGGGTGGAAATGGTTTCCTCCACTTTCTTGGGTAAATACTTGGGTCCTGAACCTGTACCTTTCATTTCCCTTGCCTACCCATAAGAGAACAATGAATAGTTAATGAGTTATAAAGGAAACATGCTGTGAACTCTACTAAACAGCAACTTCAAGAAGAAAAAATAATCAATACTTTTGGGAAAATGATAAAAATATGAGAACAAATGGCATTTTTAATTTAAATGGCCATCAAGATCATCTAAGTTTAAAATTTTTAAATGGAAGAATTGAAGATAAAGTGAAGAATCACCTAGTAACAAAGAGAGCTCAGCGCAGTAATTTATAACATCTGTTCAAGTGAGGTACAAGGTGACAATTACTAACATAAAAGACAACAGTCTGAGATGCAGATTTATATTTTAAAAATGATAACATTTTTTTCAGTACCTACTACCTATTGGACAATGTTAAACTCTCACAACAGCCATTTATAAAACAAGATAAACAAAGAAAATAAGTAGCTTATTCCGGATCAAGCATCTAGTACCAAGTGAGGTCAGACAAAAGCCCTCCACTCTGTGACATAGGACGCTTGTTTAACAATGATGGGATTAGAAATCCTTAAGTGTCTAGAACAAAAAATGTCAGTGGGTCATGCCCTTACTAGGAGGGTTGGAAGGCAGTTGGAGATAACAAGTCAACCTCTCATTTCCAATATATGGACACTGAGGATCAAAGGGGTTTTGTTCAGTTTTGTTTGACGTAGTATAAGACAGAGTCTGAGAGGTTAAACAATGTTTCGAGTACTCCAAGGCTAATAAGTTGTAGAACAAGAAAAGAAGGCAGATGTGACTTCTCAGCCCATGTCTCTTCTATTAACCTGTGCTAGGAGCTCAGCTCTCCTGATTCCTGCTCTCTACAGCATGATCCCTCACACGCTGAAAAAGTGCAATATAATGTGGAAGGAGTTCTCTAGAGCTTTCTCCAGAATGCAGAATAGTGGGACAATTACCACAGGCTTAATTTGGGGGGTGCATGATGATAGGAATAGATGAGAAGGAAGCAAAGAGGGAGAGATTTCTCCTGGAAGTCAAGCATACAAAGTCTCCTGGATCACGTGCGGGGAATTATTCCTCATGTCATCAATATAAAGCAAGTAATTTAAGTAGTAAAGTTAGTTTTGACTTAAAACTCTTGGGTATGTCAGCAAGTATACTCTACATGCTTGTATGGGATAGAAGGAGGAAGGATGCACAGGGGGAATTGGCTGATGAGGAGCAAATGCCTGAGCTGGTGAGACCTTGGGAAAGTGTTTTCATCGTTCCAGGATCATCAGTAAAGTAATAATAATTGTGTTTAATCTAGAAACCACCTAGTCTCTAAGGCATCTACAAAGATGTTATATCACAGACTGTTTTGACTTTTAAACCTTTGGGTTGAAAGAACACTTTTGTATCACTTTAGGACACCTTAAGAAAATTTAGAGAGAGATAGTATAGTTACAGAGAAGTGGCTCACATGTGAATCATATTTTATCTTTAGGATTTCAAAAATATTAGAGGAACAAATCCTTTATTTGTTGAATATCTCTGAATTCCAATTTGGAAGAAAATTCTGTCACAAATGATTTTCTCACCACATGAATGCTTTTGTTCTTTTTGGCATTCTGTGCCAAAAAACTGTAAAAGGGCTTATCGTTGAAGGCTACTGGTAAGCCCAATTCATGGAACTGCTTTCAATATCTCTAACTTTTCCTTTCGGTATTTCCCTCCTTTCCAGTTTTACTTAAATTTACCTAACTTTAATTTCCTCACTGAAACACCTTTTATATTAAATAGCCGAATTAAACAAATAGTTTTTTTCCCTCTTCCATACTGCCAATATTGTAGCTCAAAATACAGAAAGAAAGCTTAGTTGAGTAAGAACACAAATGTGAATAATTTAGGTCAAACATGAGATCAGATCATGGTGCACATGTACGGCATCCTTCCTTAATCCCTAGGCAGAAGAAAACAACTGGGGTGGCAGACACTTCCGGCTGAGGATGGAAATGGAGGAGAAAGCTGGCAATATACAAATGAAGGAGAAAACAGTACACATTCAGCCTGCGGACATCTGCTGCACATGCAAAACGGACTGGACTCTGCAATCTAAGGCAAAAGCAAATGCTTCCTTCCTTCCTTCCTCCTGTTCCATAGTTATTGTGGAGTGACGGTCTCATTCTTTTTGCATTCACAGATTAAATTAATAACAGCATCTGAATTTGAAGTAGGTCCCACTGAATAGCAAACCAGAAGCTAAATGAACTGGAGAAATTAGTAATGAAGCATTTGAATTAGAAGGGGTCATGGACAAATACCATTTTCTAAAAGCCAGCTTTAGCTTACCTCAGGATGATGTCCAATTTCAATGTAGGTGCAAATTGGATGAAAAGCCCCAGTTCCACAGGCGTACAAGTGAGTCTGATTATAAGCCTTAAGCACCTTGATGAAATTAGCACATTCTTTCTGTAAAACAAAAGGAAAACCAGTGAGTTCTAGCAGTCAGCATGGCTGAGGTATCCTCTAGGGTGCTAGGCATGCTTGAACAGATTTCTTTTCCTTTGTGTCTTTTTCACAACATTTTTAAGGCTTATTTTTCTATTACTTGTTCATATTATCAAATGAAATAAAGTATAAAAGTTATTATTCTTTGGGGGATAATAAATGATTCTCTTCCATAATTGTTCATTAAAACTATCTGTAATTTATTTATACAAAAATGGAATAAAGGAATAGATAATTATTAATCACAGGTGACTTTTCAAGAGATGAGGGGAACAGGAAATGATATGATTAATTACAGAATTACTTAAAGCACACACAGAAATTTCTTTGCAAAAATAAGCTGTAAGTTTAATTTTAAAAAAAGATAATACCACTTTTTTATTAAACATGAATTTTAAAGATCAGTAATAACCAATAATGATGCCACCTTGACTTTGAACTTCAGTTTTGCTTGTTAGTAACCTCTATGGAGCCTAAGAAAGTAACGCTGCTTTCTCTCCAAAATGTCATTTCAGCCTCAAAGGCAACACAGAGTATATTTCTATAAGATAGGGAACATGTTAGAGTATTGAAGGTCTGTAGGTGGAAAGATCTTTTATAGAGTGGCTATAATTAATATTTTCAGGAAGTTCGTGGACATCGTGAACCCATGAACCCATACATGGATCCCCTGCCAAATGAGCCACAGATCCCACAGGTAAGAACTCTTAGTTCTTAGGGGATATTCTAGTTATATCTTATTATTTATAGTTTAGACATTTCTGCCATTGTATTTTCTGAAACAAAAGATCACTTAAAAATAAAATGGACAGAGAAATTTATATTCTTTCTATATATTCTATCTACAGGTGCTTGAAAGAAGTTGTTTTTCTACAAACAAACAGGAATCTCAGCCTTTCGTCCCTGTTGATGAAAGATTTGAGGGGGGTGTGGAATGAGATAATCAAGACTATAAACTGATAATTTTATTGCCCAAAAAATCCAGAGCAGAAAAGACTTCATTTTTGCAAAATATTTTTATTAGTTTTTAAATGTTCATTTATGTATTTGAGAGAGAGCATGTGTGCACACACAGATGGGGGAGGGGCAGAGAAGGAGGGAGAGGGAGAATACCTAGCAGGCTCCATGCTGTTAGCTCAGAGCCTGATGCAGGGATTGATCTCGGAAACCAAGAAATCGTGACCTGAGCCAAAATCAAGAATTGGACCCTTGCCTGACTGAGCCGGCCAGGTGCCCCATAAAATTATTTTTAAAAAGATGGATCTATACCAATATTAAAAAGAAAAAAAGTAAAGAAAAAACCAAACTGAAAATAGCTTCAAATAAAATCTTTATGGGCTGTTAACCATATAATTAAACACAAATAAGTAAAAAATACGAGTTCACCATGGAATACATCATATCCGCTTTGAAAACAGCCACATGAATATGCATATGCTAACTAATAAAAACTTCATTAAAACTATTTTGTTATTGATTACAGACTATCCTAAGTTTGTGTTTTTCCCTTAAACATTTGGAAATAAGAACCAAATATGTAACTAGAGACACAGATAAAAATGAAAAGCAGACCCTAATGGGAGCAAGGCTGGCAATCACAATAGAAGACTGTGTTGATCCCTGCACCTTAAAGTGTGTACCACTTCCAAATTCACCCTTGGTAACATATGGCTTTTCAAGTGAAAGCTCAGAATGCATTTGGATTTTATGTGGTCAGTCGGAGTTTATAACCGAGGTGTTACACTGATGTAGGTACATTTCGGCATAATGTTTATATTCTGTGTTTGCAGCTGATAATTTTGGTCTTAATTTTATTGCCCCTATAAAATAAGAAGCAGACAACCAAACTTAAGCAGAATGATTGTAATTGCTTTCCATCACCACTGATATTTTTAGGGGATGAAACCTAAGGGTATCCTGTTAATATACTGCCCCCAAAGATAAATGAGACCTACTTAGGGAAAAATATGTAACTTCCAAGTTATGACTCCTCATACTTTCTTAACATATGCTGAGGAGTTTAGGGAAGTAACTAAAATAAACATCTAATTTCTCCCACTGTTTTGTCACTTAAATCCTGACTCTTGTGTCTGGTAAAGCATTATAGCATATAAAATTAAGCTCTGAAATCAATTAATTTTGAAAGTTGCTGCGAAGAAAAACTTCCTAACTTAAAGAGTATATGGATCTTACCCATATTTAAAGGTACATCTTAGATGAAACAGACAGAACCTAACTTCCAAGTCTCTCAACAACAAACTGCCCATTCTGCAACAATCTCTCTCCTCCCAAGAGGTTAGGGTATGAATGTCTAGGCAAGGGAAAGAGGTTGTGGAGAGGGAAACATCTGATAAACTCATTTATAAATGAGGCATTCATGAGTCTTACCCAAAGGACTTATTTGTACCTTAAAGAATATTTAGTCATTTGCAAAAAAAGCCATTTTCAGAAAAATGTTTCATAGTACCCCTTTTTTTGAAACATGTAGGTGGCCACATACTCTTCTTTTACATAAAGACAGCCATCCCTAATTGTGGACTCAATATTATAGCGTTCATGATTATAAATAAACAGTTCCGGCACCATATGTTGAAATTGAGAAACTGGCTGTGTATATATTGGTAAGCAAACGAATATTCTAATAAATAATGGTGGCAGAACCAGATGGACATCTTGTTCATTTTAGAAAAGAACAGGCTTTCAGTCTGCCTGCCATGCCTTGAAAGACATGCATGCAATTTTGAAAACAAATCCAAATTCTCTAATCCCATTAGTAATACCTGAGTGCATCCTACAAGTCTGAGAATAGACCCTAGTTCTCCACAACAGCAATAAAAGGAAACATTTTATGAGCATGGGTACCTGTAAAGACAAATGGAGACTCATGTCATCTCTGCAACTATTATGAATCCTAAAATCAATACACGTGTGGGTTTATTTCTCTTATAACTGGGTAACTGAAAAGCAAAAATTAGTAATTGAAACACTCAGGGTTCTTAAAACTAGAAAATTGAGCCACGCTGGATATCATAATTTTAGTTTGTTTTCTATTAACTATCAAAGAAGTATCACTATAATATGACAGCTATCCCTCTACAGAGCTGCTGGAAAAAAAATCAGTCACAGGACTGTAGCTGTGAAACCTGGCAAAGGGTTCTACTGAGAATACTGATAACAGAGTCTATCTGTGCTACAAAGGGACTCGACCCACCCTATTGGCCTAAGGCCTGGAATGATCCCCTTCATTTCCCCAGTATCTCTTCTAGTTGGCAGCAGGTTGTAATGCTGCCATGCCCCAGGGCTAGCTCAATATTATTTTGAAACGAAGCTTTATGCAAATAGAATGGAGAGAAATTTCTTGGGTTTATAGAATAGGTTAAGACATTTGAAATGAAACAAAGAAGCTGAATGAAGTACTTTCAAAGTCAGCTAAAAATACCTGCAAGGAAACAGTGAATTAAAAGTACTGGACAGAGAAAAACCAAAAATTTGAAAGAGACATTGTCAGTAAGGATTGTTCTTTAAAAAGAAAACCTACATAAAAGACTATCAATTCTGTCATTCATTTGCCTTCACTCTCTAGCTTGGTGCTGCCAAGGATTTTTGTTTTTGTTTTTGTTTTTTGAATGTTCCAAAACAGGATATTCATTTTATTTGGAAGCAGCCTGGACATTCCTCTAAAAAAGAAGGAAGCATGGCAGAAAAAGGAAACACACTTCACACATTTCTGTTCTAAGGAGACAGAAGAAGAGTGATTCTGACCTTTTCTTGAACCATGACGATTCTTAAAACTTCGAATGTAATGTACTTTTTGGCATTAAACTACTGCACTGCTTTGCTCAGCACCGGCGGATTTACAGCGTAATAAAGAAAATGTAATCAGTTCAAAATGAATTCATTTTTCAAACCTTGATCCTTTTTGGAGTTTAAGTTGATATACACAGACAAGTTTAGCAACAAGTTGGCTTCCCAAGAGTCAGGCAACCATACTGACCTCTTATTTTACTGAAATGTACTCCAGACCAACAGCATTATGAATTGTTAACTTTGCCTAGAAGTAAAAATAAAGGCAGTAATAAACCAGTAACCCCCACGGCCGCACCTGAGGAACAATGATTCATCATCCTTAGTGACAAACCATTCACACTTGTTTTGTGAAGGTTTCGAGTGCTTTCAGGTTAAATTGATAGACGTATTACACAAAAGAGATATAAGCCTGGAAAAATAAATCAGAAAGAAAATGCCTACCCCCAGAAAAAAAGATATAGGAGCCAAATGCACTGTGATTCAAAAACAAACATTACAAATATGTAGCACTGATTAGACTATGTTACGCAGACTTTTCCCGGACGGTTACAAAAATAAAGTCCATCCATCTGTCAAAACAACTGCTCCATGCATGAAAATTAAAACAGAATTGAGGTGTTTTTAACTAACTTCCGATAATTATACTTTCTACAAAAGAAAGTAATTTACCTCCAATTCCAATTACCTCCTTGCATGTTCTTAAATTATGGATGGAGCAGTGAAATGTTACTCTAAATAAGAGATGAACAATTTCTATTCAAATATATTCAGTTCATGATTAAATCTAACAACTTGTTCTGGTTCAAATAAAAATCCGCCCCAAATGAATGGTTATACTGTAGCATTGCCTCAGGTCAGTGAATGTTCATTTAAAAGAAAAAAGTCTCTGTCCCCTCAGTAGTTTACGTAGAAATATTTTAATGTTTAATCTATCATCTGGGAAAGCAAAAGAATCCTTTTTCTATCATGATGGGTGGATACATTTCTGCAAGAAAATCCATTAATAAGCTTAATTCCTGAAGTTAATCTGTTGACTTTCTTTTTCTCTGGTCAATTTATTTGGCAAGCTGGCTGAATACTAGAATCTTCGTGCCAAAGCAGTAATCCGTGAGATTGTTCCTGTCACTTGCTTCATCCCTCTATGTAAGCTGTTC